ATTGCTTTGGTTGATGCATTTCTTTAGAATTGGGACAAAAAAAGTCTCTCCTTCATGGTGGTAAACTTGTGAATGTATTAATTTTTCAGTCCAATAGAAAGTATTTTCCTTAATAGTTCTACAGCTAAAACAACAAAACTCTTGGACAGTTCACCTAAAAATCACCACATCAAGTGGCTAGATATAATAAATTTGTAAGGTGAAGTTCTGAGTATGTTTGCTAATGAGAAAAGTTCTGCTACAATCTTTTGCTTTTATTGAATGGCAGGACATGCTCATGCTTTTTGTCGATCTCTGCTTATTCTATGGGTTGCATGTATATATTTCCTTTCCATATCTGGATCTTGATGTCATTCTATTCATCGTTTCTCATCAATTTTTTAATATGGATAGATCCATAGTAGACCTTTCAGTTGCTTACAGTTTTACTATTGGTGACACTCTTTGTAAAAACACAGACTATTTAATTTCAGCTGACTACTGACTACTTCTTAACCGACGAGATATATAGATAAATATATGAAGGTTGTAAAGTAATGATCAGACTAGTAGCAGCTCATATATACTTAGTAGAAAATGTTTCAAGATAAATACAGGCAACATACTTAGGATGAAGCAGTGGAACTTAAAGAATTTATAGTACAGATATTTTTATTAGAACATTTCCAGAGCCCATTAATTGGAAAGTTGAAGAGACAAGAACACATGGAAAATAACTTAACTAGCTTTATGAAAAATGATTGCAAAAGTAGTATCGACAACTTGGAGGGACACAAAAAATCATTGTGAACAACTACAGAAACCCCCCAAAAAAATATTAAGAACAAAGACGAGTTGCAGAATGTTATATGGTTACTCCACTAGGGATAAAGGCTTTATTGTTTCATTTGTTGATGCAGATGGAAGCATCAAATGCACGTAGTAATATGTTCTTCTGGCCAAAGTATATTTTCTTGTTCATTTGCATGCTTTACTTTAACTGTTGCACTAAGTTATGGGTTGTTACCACTTTTATTCTTTCTGTTACTGTCTTCGTTCCACGTACTTCCCTTTTTCTTTTTTTCATACTTTCATATTGTTTGTAATTCATGTTTTTGGCCCAAAAAAGCTTCCATCTCATTCACAACTATCTTGTAAAATTTGGTGACAGGCAGGTTGCAGATGGCTCGCAAGAAATACAGAGCGACTTCAACAATAGCCTGGGGTTCCTGGACCAGCGAACGGTATGTTTGGTTAACATGTCAAATATCGGAGCACATATTATCCTTACGTATCATCTATTAATGTAATTTAATTATGTCTGTTGTAGATGGATGAAGCTCAAGTCTCAAGTCCTAGTAGTGAGTTTCCGTCTTACTTTGCCTTGAATAAGTTTGATAAACTGACACATCTATGGACAGCTTCCATTACCAACATGTCACTAGTACTGATTCTAGAGTATCTCTGTCTATGTTTTCAGAAGACATCCAGGCCATCCTTTTAAGTACCTTCTGTTTGGAAATCCAGAGTTTTGTCAGTTTTGCTCATATTATTCTCATTTTCAGACTTTAATGGCCATCATATAAATGAAGGCGCAAGTCCAGAGGCCAGACCTGTGCATGTCTATCTGAGCCCTGCACTTCCCTGTTATTTACCTTGGCCTGTATACATTATGTAATGTATAGCCACCTTTTAGTTTCCCGTTTTACAAATAAATGACCAATGTCACGTAAATAGTTCCCTGGTGCAATGATTGCATGATAATTTAACTAATTACAAGTTATTTATTTGAATTTTTGCACTATACGAAGATACCAAACACTATAGGATTTGACATAATGTCCAGAGTGGGGAACCAAACACATGTTTTGATTTCTCTGGATGACTGTAAAATGAAAACATTTTTCTTCCTGGTAAAGATAGATGAGAAAAGATCTGCAAAGTGCCATTTATAAACGTAAACAATCTTGTTTGCGGGTCTGTGAGGTTGTTTTTAATAGTTTGTACTCCCGAAATGATATAATTTATACTTTGGCTCAGTTGTTCCATTTCTGTGAGTGATATTCAGGTTTCTTTTAATGTTAATGTAGTAAACAGCTTTGTAGCTCAGTCGACCGGTGCTTTGAATATTACAGAGGGTACTGTTCAACATGAACCAACCGAAGTATCTTCTGGTCGTTCTAGTGCACACGTGGACAAGGATCAAGGGAGACTGACTCCAAATGAATCCGTATGTACAGTTATTTCTCCGCCAGATATTTGTGATGCTTCAGTTCCCACTCTCGAAGTCGAATCAGATTCACGACTCAGGGCATCATCAGATCCCTTCATGTGGGTGCCTCCAAGAAGTTCGAGTGTTAAGAAAACTGCAAAGGTATTGTGGATGCTATTTCTGTATTTTGAACAACGAAGATCACGAAAATAGTTGCCTTTATTATTTTTATGTTAACTGGACTTCATGCTGCTTTTGTTTTTGGACATCTTATTNTTTACTTCCATTTTATTTTCGCCTTTGGTGGAGTTCAGTGTAGTGTAGTGCTGTCTGGGGTTTTATTCTCTGGAGTATAATAGCATTTATTGGATATAATATTTTTTGGATTTGATTGGATTTATCGAATAAAATGAGTTAGTTTTTTTTTAAAAAAAAAGACTGAGTGGAAATTTGAGTGGGATTTTGATTTTGTATTTAAATAAAATTTAAAATGTAATGATTATATTTGATGTGATGTAAAAGTAGGAGAGATGTTATTGAAAATGATAGGTAGTTCAATCTATGTAAGCTGATGAATAGTGAATTAAAGTTGATGTGATGTGTGACAATGATTGGTTGCTATTATTTAATTATATTGATAATATTGAGCAGAGTTAAGTTGGATTTCGAGTTAAAAAGTTGTAAAAAAATTATTTACCTGTCAAAACCGGTTACATTTGTTGTATCTAATCGCTCAATTTGACATGGAATAATATTCTGTTTTCCGCAAGCTGTCATGGTAGTCATTTTAGTTCTCAAGTTGTATGACTTTATTATTATTATATTTTATAGGAATCTAAGCTGAATCATGGAGCTCAGAGATTTTACCCATCAATGTTGTACCATAGAATGGTGGAACCACATGTACGCCCAAATGGGACAGGTGTTCCCTATAGGCCTGGGGCTTGCGCATTAGCATCAAGGGGACATGTCACCTTTGGGCATGGAGACAACAACACACCATATTTTCAACCTGTAAGCATTGTAGTTTTTGTATAGAGCATGTTTGTATACAAAAATTTTCACTCAAAGTGGATTCTTTTGGTTAACTATAGTTAATTTGGAAAAAGATGGTATGATTAGTTGTTAGTGGGATTTTGGATTTATACTAAAATAAAATTAAATAATTAAAATTGATTTGATGTAAAAGTAGAAGAGAGATGATATGAAGTGATTGTTAGTTAAAATTATGCGAGTGGATGAATAGTGAATTAAAGTAGATGTGTGGAAGGATGATTGGATGGTATTATTTAATTATATTGATAATATTGAGGATATTGTAGTTGAGTTAAATTTTGAGTTGAATGAAATTTTGAGGGAAATTTTTTATACAAACATGCTCTTAATTTTCCAACTTAGATTTCTTAAGGATGTGACTGACTTTAAAAAAAAATTGTTGTTGCAATTTTTGTAACTTGTAAGACTGGGTGTCGCCATTTCTCCCCCTCACACAAGATTTACTGTGCAGATTATTGGACAAGTGGTCAACAGAGTGCAACCGCCTGTTATATGTACTAGTCAATATCAGAATTTTCAAACAGGGCCTGCTTATGTTCATCCAAATCCACACAATGTAATCTCAGATACTAAAGATTCGATTCCTCAAATGTCAATGTATTATCTGTATAAGTTGTTTTTGTTCAAGGCTCATCTTAAAAATCAATTGATAATTCAGGTTATGTTTGGACGAGGTGGGGGCCCTCTTGTTTATACGAATCCCATCCCCAGTGTAAGATTGTCCTTGTCCTGTATATCTCGCTTTACTTTTCTTGATTAAAAATGTGTTTGATATTATATTTATTAATATTCCTTTAAGAATTAAAGAGTTCAAATGTCCGTCCCTGTGGGCATCATGAGAGTACAGCAAGTTTTTTTTATTTTATTTTGGGTAAATGTGTTGTCAAATACTTGGTTGATAGTTGATGCAGTTCGAACTTTTATTTTCTTTTCTTGATTTTTCATTGTTTCTCATTTCTGGGTGAAACTTAATATTTATTTATTTATTTATTCTCTCTTCCTGAATGTACAGCTTGCACCTGGGCTATCTCCAGCAACTCCACGACCGCCTTTAGCTCCACATCAGCTGTACCTTCGTGAGCACCAAGGTAATGTAGCTGTACTTTTGGTAGATCATTTGTGATAATAGTCTTACATGCATGAGCTATTTATTAGAAGGACCCGAGTTGCAAGTTTCTTTATTCACAAGTCATCTAAAATGTTGGAATCACAGAAATCGGTTAAGCAAACCAAGTGATTTGACATGCATCAGCAGAGGTTGGTAGTGTTGTCTCTGGGAATTTAGTAGTTGTGCACTTAACCATTAGAGGAAGTGTACATGTGGAACCCCAATGTTCCAGAATTTAGGGTATTTAGGTTGTGACTTGATATAGATTTGATTTTTTTTTTTCTTACTTACCATAGCTAATTTTATAAAAAAGATGGTTTGGTTAGTTGTTAGTGGGAATTTAAGTTTAAATTAAAACTTTATTTAAAATAAAATAAGTAAAGTTGATTTGATGTAAAAGTAGGAGAAAAATGATTAGAAGTGATGGTTAGTTAAAATTATGTGAGTGGATGAATAATGAATTTATGTTGATGTGATGTGTAAGAATGATTGTTGATATTATTTAATTATATTGGTAATATTGAAGATAGTGGAGTTGGGTTATAGTTGAGTTAAATTTGAGTTTTGATTGGTTTTTTTTGCTTAGCTTATTTGTAATTTATGTCATGNCTAATGTGAAAAAAAAAAAAAGAAAAGAAAAGAATGAGAAGTAAATAAAAGCAGGTTGATTTTTGTGTATCCTTAACCTCATGTTAAACTCCCACACATGCACACACTAGTGTATGTGTGCATATATGAATGTAATTTTATATTATAAAATCAATCTGCACAATAGCTTTGGCCTATGTTGTCCTAGTGAGTGCTAGAGTATTTACTGTTGGTTAGGGCCAAAGCAACTCATTACATACCCTTCAATATTTTCATTTGAAAATACTGTAAATAACGTTGAATATTGATTAATCCTTTCTAACATTTGTACAGGAAACTGGTCATCCCAAGAACTGAGGCATTACATGATTCCCCCTTTAGTGGCAAATGGACCTCAGTCATATGTGATGCCAAGTTCTCTTCCTATTCCGCAGCCAATATTACCTTTTGTACGACCTATTGCAATTCCAGGGACACATGGTTATTTGAGCACCAAGTTTGTTTGAATCTCATCTCTTCAAAATCATCATTCTTCTAATTGGAAATTTTTGCTTTTTCTGAGTCATACAAAATTAAATTGTTTCTTTTTCTGTTTTTTCCTTCTGTTTATCCTTGTGGCAACCCATGTTTAGAAAGGGAGGGGCACTTGAACAGTGTAATATAAGAATTTTGCTAAAATTGGTTGGTTATTGTTCTGTTCTTTTCCTTTTCCCAGATTTGTGGGAAAGGTTGATAGGTTTGTTTTGGTTATGTTGTGATGAGGTTTCAATTTTTAACAGTTCACTCATTGTAATATGGCTTATAGCGAAGGTGGGTTTTTGTTTTTAGGTATGATATAGTGAAAGTTTGGTTTTGTTTTTATCCAAGGAGTTTTGTTTATCTTGAGGGCTGCTTGAGTTACTTATTACCATTATCCAGGAACATGAGGCAGTATTTATTCATTTATTTATTTGGTACTTATGTTTCTTTGTATGATTATGCTGGTATGAGGAAATTATTTCTGTTATTTGCTAAATTTTGTATCGTTATGTCGTCAAACTATGTTCAAAACAAATATCTAGACAATCAATATCAAATTAGAGCAATATTTCAGTACTTTGTATCAATTCCAACCAAATTACAGTCGATCATTGATCATTGTTATTATCCTACTCTATTTAGTTCCAAACATAATAGCACTCGACCATTTACCATTGTTCTTGCTATACTTAGACAAAAAAATGCAGTAAAAACACTCCAATCGAACGCAAACGGAAACTCAAAATGAATTTTTTCCTTTCTCTCTCCACCTTTTACCATTGTTCTTGCTATACTTAGACCAACTCCAACCGAACGCAAAAACCTAAAAAATGCAGTAAAAACACTCCAATCGAACGGCAAACGGAAACTCAAAATGAGTTTTTTCCTTTCTCTCTCCACCTTCAGACGCAAATTTGCGTCTCTACTGTTCATAAACGCAAAATTTTTTGCGAATTGACTTTTGGTCCAAAAAAATGATTTAAATTGTATTTTGGCCCAAGTTATATGACTTGTGTAAAAATTAGTGAAAGAAATATATATATATATATATATATATATATATATATATATATTTAATTTTGTAACTATAATGTTGTTATTTTTTATTTGAATGAACATAATATATATTATTTGTTGGGTATGTTAATTGTTATTTTTTATATAAATGTATAATAAAAACTAGTTACGAAATCTATTTGTTGCTCTAATTTATATTTATACGTGTTTTCATATTACTTGGCACAATTAAAATAATAGTAAAAAAATATGAAATATAAACAAATAGAATTAGACATTTATATATAGGGTGTGAACATTCTATAATAGGTTTAATCAAAACATTATGAAAGCATTTGTAAAATATTTCTAGTGTATTCATTTGAATAAAAAATTATATAAGTATTTGTAAAATATTTCTAGGAGATTTCTAAAGAAGTTTGAATAAATTTGTGAGAGATTAATATATTATTGATAATAAATTCAAATATATAACCTTTTTTAAAATATAATTAAAATTTAAAATAATATTGTTATATTTATCATTTAATTTTATATATTTCACAATAATAATATAAAATAAATATATTATTTGTGCGTTATAATTTTTAATTTTATCTTGTGTGATTTAATTTTTAATTTTTCATCTTGTGGGTTCTAATTTTTAATTTTATCTTGTGTGTTGTAATTTTAAAATTTTGATTTTTAATGACTATTTATTTCTCCGATTTTATTATGTATATATATGATTATTACTTTATAATTAGTTTATTACATAAAGTCTAAATTGAATTGAAAATAATAGTGTAGTTTAATTTGTAAAGTTGTAAAATATGTGGGTAGTATTGAAAAGTTATAAAAGTTGATGTAAAAGAGAATATTCCGAGAATATTCTTTTGGGTTAGAGAATGAGTTTTTCGGTTGAAGATGAATTACTGCAAAATGGGATAAGTACTGCAAAATGGGTTTAAGTATGGGGTATTCGGTTGGAGATGGTCTTAATGGCCATTTGCCATGAACTCTCATACAATTCTCGGATTTGCCATGGCCACTATAGAACTACTTTTGCTTCTTTCTTCGTCAGTTGAACAGTGGTGAAACCCTGGCCATATAGAATATGACGATGTTTCTCCACACACGTGAAGAAAATAAATATTTTGGCTGCAAATGATACTTCAGATGACAATAAATGTTCATTTTTTTTGTTATTTATTTCAGTCTGCAATTTGGGTGTTGTATAATTCATACGCTCTGGTGCTGGTTTCTGTTAGTGTCTTAGATGTTAAGATATATATTTCTGCCAATTTTAATTATTTTCGAAATATTTTTGTTACAAAAGTACGATGCAATTGACCTTGTTGAATCAGGTGAAGGCCTAACTATTGATTGAATCTGCATTTTCAAAATGAAATTATGTGGGAGACTATAATTTTTTTTTGTGGTCTATGATTATTTAGAACCAGATTTTTCATGTAAGTTCATAAAGTTTAAGCTCATATTTT